GAGTACTATATCTGAAGAGTGTGGACACGGTTGTTGCACGCAGTATCGTACGTATCGCCGTGTAGGTAGATGGATGTTTCCTCTAGTTCTCGGTGTACGTGTCCTCTACAGTCACAGGAGGGCGTGGTCATAGGGTGTCGGGTCCGTGAAGCTGGTTGCAGCAAACCCTGGGACTAATCGTGTTGTAACGACCAGATCAGGGGTAGAATTTGCCAAAGATGGAAATTTTTGAATAAGAACCGAAACGCTAATTGTAATACAGTTCTAGAGATACTGTAGCAGCCCAAAGAGCAATTGTGTCTCTTCAGTCCGACGCCCTCAAAGGGATCGTCGATCTAACTGCTACCGCTTTTCCGATGCCCGGCCGCAACCGGTTGCCACGTCGTACTCAGGAATATCCGCTTGCGCTGCGCAAAGCGTTTAACACCACCTATGGTAGGGCAGTGTACGATTCTAATGGGACGGAGCTCTGTCTAGTTGTCTAAGAGCTAGTGATTACAGAGGTGGCTTCGGGGATGTGGTATGGTAAAAGTTTGTGCAAGTGCACGAAAAAGGGTTCCAGGGGTCCGGGTCTTGATGCGGTAGAATGCGGTAGGGTTAGGAGTTAGGGTGAGAGTCGAATGTGCGTATGGGGTGGATCGTCGTGTGGAGATGGGTGATGGTTGGTGTGGGAGTGACGAGGATTGTTGTAGGGCAGTTGGTGGAGACTCGAGCTAATGTCAGCAACTAACAATCCAACTGGACTGAGCTACGACAGTGCTGAGGAGACAGACGAGAGGAATGTGAGTGAGGAAAGACCAGCTCGAGTCTGGCTTGTTATTGAGCAGTACAGGCTCCTTATATACATGTTAGAATGAATACCTAGAATATCCTACGAATATACGGAGGTGTATAGAAAGTGAAAGAATACCATGGAATCTGGGAGAACCATCCGGATTGTGTAATATTCATGACAATATGCCATCGAACGACCCTTTCACGTCTGTACCATGTCGGTAAAAGACGAACGTAATGAGGCGCGTTTCCACCCGGCGCAAACACGCACGCACCAGATACTAGCGTGGATAGTTCTCAGCACGCTAGGTGACTGCGTGACGGGCCAACGACCTTGCAGGCAAGCCTGGTGCACTGGACTTGCTCGCGCTGGCGGCCGCATACACAGACTCGGATGCAATCACAGCGCACGGTCTACCGTCTTCTGCCGTTCTACAGGCCGCGGTGATGCTCGTCGAGGGGCTGTACCTCCATCGGCCTGAGGAATGCACGGGATCGCTGCAGGGCCTGTGCTCCGGTCAGCTCACGAGCCTATAGCGCGTAGCGCTAGCACCAACGCGAAGATCGAATGCTGGGGTCATTCTACGTCGCAACAGACTCAGGGTGCGAAGGCAATCAATAATCTCAGGGTACTTATTGCGCGCTTCATGATAGATGATCATGGTCTTGTCAGTAGCGTTGGCGGAAAATGGGCTGCAGATGAGCAGGAAGGGCATTCGGACTGACTCGGGTTTGAGGAAGAAACAGAGACGGGGGAGCTGGCTCAAGCCTGATGCGTGGCGTAGGCAAGTTGTTCCGCAGCAGTTCATCAGAGCTGTATGAGTTTATCGTGCTCAGGACTTCCACCTGTACAACTACGATATATCCTCTATGAAACAAACCCAGTGTATAATACAGATCACGAGAAGCGTCCAGAAACAAACAACCCCTGGTTTGAAGTGACAGTATGCGTCAAGATTCCCCACGCATAAGTCGCTGCAGATGATACTGGACATCACGCATGAAATCCGGCGCCATCGTACTCGAATTGATCTGGAAACCACCACCGTCCGGTCCAGCGACATCGATCCCGCGCTCATGTCGTCTGGACGCGATCCCCTCTGGTGAGCGTTGGACGAATCCAGATGCGGCAGGGATAGACAAAGGTACGGCTCTGACCTCAGTATCGCCTTGGATGACGCGGTTGCGCAGCGCGGTGATGACAGGATCAGGAGTGCCTTCAGCATTGCAGAAAGGCTTGTGGCGTGACCAGTCCTGCACATCACAAAGCTCAATACTGTGGTATCTCAAAGAAAACTAACACGAGCAGCACACCTTTCTTTGGCATTCCTTGCTGCAGTATGATGGCTTCCAGCCTTTGTCACATTTGCCGGCGCAGCTGGACAGTCCCGACTTGTGTGTTGCCTCAATCCCGCAGCCTTCGGCAGCGCAAAAGTAGAAGTTCGGCATGGCGAGCACTTTAGCATCGCGCGCATCGTCCTTCTGTTCCATTTCCGCCTTGCGTTTGCCGTAGACCCGCCAGAGGTCCTTGAGTTCGAGGAAGCGGTCGACAGTGTGCCCAGGCGGACACGTCTCTTGGTGCCGAAAACCAGTCTTCTCGATGATATCCGCGATCTGGAGGACCACTGGGGCGACAAACCCAAGCGAGGCGGCAACATCGGCGAGGACCGCGCCGCGATGCACAGCGTCGATGTTCATCATGCGCCGGTCCTCTGGAAGTCCCTCTTCGAAGCACATGTGCGCCATAATGGCAAATCCACGTGCGCGGCGCGAGCGGGAGAGATTCAGCGGGCTGGGGTCGTCTGTAATCTGCATGAGAAAGACCAACGCCTGGTCGTAGTCTTTGGCAGCGCCGCAGCCTGTGCAGCTCCTGCTTTACGTAAGATCAGGCCGCAGTATGACGTACGTGTGGCCCACCTGAGTACCATATCCATCATATCGTCGATGTTTCTAGTCTGCGCGCCTGACAAGACCTCAACAGAGCTTTTGGTGTTGAGGTGAGTGATGACAGTCTCAAGAACCCGCTGCAATTGAGGCTGATCCCAATAACTGGCGCATGTTGCCATGTAAAGTTTCGCATAAGGTAGCGCTTCAGTCCACCCAACCATGATGACTGCGAGCAGTAGTACGCAGACGCGTGCCAGTGGTCACTTTCAGGCGAGAAAAGGAGGAGCTGGAGGAGCAAAAAAGACGCTCGAGACAGACGAAATGGCTTAGTAAAGTATTCAAAACAAGAAAGAGGTGAGCCTTTGAGGAAGAATTAATGCCAGAGGGTCCGAAGCGAGAGCCGCAGGCGGCTGCCAAAGCCAAGTCATGGGGAAATAGGGGAAGCCGAGAGAACTCCAGCATTGTGGCGTCTGATGGCGACATATCTTCGCCCGGAGTTTTCTGACACCTTTAGTCTCTGACGATAATTTATGGCGGCCCGTTTGCACAAAAATTAGCGCGGCATACAAATTCAAATCCCGCCATCAAAAAATATAAGTAATGCCGGTAAACGCGTTCAACTCCGCCATCAAATAATAACTGACCGCCGTCAAACGAAGTCTCGCTGGCAAAGAGACTCACGCTCGCCGGCAAACACATATGCACACAGGCAATTCCCCTCACAGCCCATACTTACTGGAATTTTAGCTGCGTGAGACACATGAACTGGTGATGAGACACAGCTAATGATACTAAAAAATTAGAGGCCATATCTGGCTGGTGAGTTTATTATGCATAGCTGCAGGCAGGTTGCACGAGCAGGAGCTTACCAGGGCCAACCGACTGACCATAAAAATCACTGTACTGGAAGCCAATGTGCAGTGAGCAATACTTAAACCATGAAGGAACTGGCATGAGGTTGATTGTTGGAGGGAAGGAAGAAGACTCAGCAATGCATGCATATAGTTAGTATAGACTATGCAAGAGTGCACCCTTGAGCAAGAGAAAGGGACTGAGCCCCGGCTCGAGATGGGCTGGAGTATGAAAATTTGTTTCACGGCCTGACGTGATAAGTGCGAGAAGCAAGACAGATAAGAAAACTACAAGTACAGTAGAGGAGAGAATTCCTGTGCAGAATGTCTGCGGGGAAGGTGGAGAACAGTGAAAGGGGCTGAAGGTCATGTAGTAACCAGAGGTCCAAGTCTCTGATACTTACCTAGTCCTGGTCAATCTGCCAACTTCACATCTCTGCAAGAGAGGCAGCCTCCAGTCTAATGCTGCATGCTGCCTCCAAGATGGTCTCCAGGCTTTATCAACGAAGATGGCTATGAACGCATCTGCTTTGCTTAAGATGCAGGTCACTCGCAAGCTCTCTATGACGACATATAGAGGTCGAAAGTTGCACAAGACACTTAGTGCCTTGGGTGCACACTGGCAGCCTGTGTTGGACTGTCTTTGTACGTTCAAGGCTCTATCTGTTCAGTGACTGTGTCGGCCAATGGCACCAGCAGTGCGCAAGTATATCGTACCGTAATATCACACTTCTCAAACGTCCCGCATACCCCATCAGTAAGCTTGTCATGGTAAAATTGCTGCTAGTGTGTCATGATGATGCAGTCTACGTGGTGCAAGCAGGCCTGATGTACTAGATTGCGTATGATATGAATAGCACTGAGCATGTTCCACTGCACTCGAAGCACTGTTTCAGGACCTGGGACATGCTCTTGCCATTGTGGTTCCCCTACTCATTTGGGTAAGTACTAAGTATGACACCTGCTGATCTCCTTGACTCCGAAGTGGTCGTGTGTTGCTCATATTAGACGGCTAAGTGTAATGTAAACTTGTGTGGCTAACTCTGGGCGATCAAGCTTCGCTGCTCTTACTGCGTTTATTCTATACCGTGTGCTCAAACCTCACTAGCACTGGCAGCGGCCTATGCCCATGTTTGGAGCATGATATGACAGTCTTCTGTGCGTACTCAATCCCTAATATTTAGCATCTTGCATCCGCTTTAATAGCAAAGTGACTACCTGTGCAAATTAACATCGTTTACTGGCAAGCAAGTCTTTCTTTGCCGGCAAGACTTCGTGCTCAAGATTTACGGTCCCAGGGGGCACCTATATGGTCCCCAAAGGGGGAGGTTTACGGTCACGGGTGCCCGTCCAAATGAGGTACCGGTGCGTCTGCTGGCTATGCTGCTTAAGCGCCTTCCCCTTTGGAATGCCCGCAGATGCTTATGTTATCCAGCACGGGACCGTAAATTTGGCGGGGTTCAGCTCTACTTCGTTTGACGGCAGTCAGTTATTATTTGACGGTGGAGTTGAACACGTTTACCGGCATTACTTATGTTTTTGACGGCGGGATTTGAATTTGTATGCTGCGCTAATTTTTGTGCAAGCCATAATAATTAGGCCCATCTGCCAACAATTGCACAATGAGCCACAGACGCCGTTACGTGTGCACACTCCCTTCACTCCACCGGAGTCAAGCCATCTGTGGTGCGGCATCAGACCTTCAAGTGCTGGTGATGGCAACCTCGTCCTTTTTCCAACTTGTCCCACATGGAAAGCTCCTTGTGTTTGCCCTGATGCTACCATGGTCTCGTCCACATCCGGGGATCTCATTCATTCTACAGCTATCACCCTCTTCTAGTTATAAGCGTACATACAGCATACTGTACCCGATCAGGAAACGGACCGGACCAGGAAACGGACCACCTACTGGTTCTCGAGCACCAGCACACCGTTAATGGCCTTTAATATAATTCTTTATTACCTAAAAAGGTTGAAATACATGCTATCTTGCTTTACTCAATGTTTTGTGAAGTCCTGTTGAGAATTGAGGGAGGTGTAAGCAAAAGACACAGCACATATCAGTAAACTGCCTATTTTGGAACTCTGCTCATGTCCAGCTGCAACGGTCTAGCAGCTATATCGCCCACAACACTCACATTGTGCTCGAGGAAATTGGCCAAAATAGACCTTATCACCATGTTGCATGACTCTCAGGCAGCTTGAGAGCCTTGTGTGGCTTAATAAGTGGCCTGGAACACGTGCATTTTGGTTCCCTGGACCTGCAGGCCCCGTTTACCTACCCGCAAAGTAACGCTACTTCAAGGCAGCTGTCAGACCTACCACCCCCAAACTCTGTGTATGTATACTTTATTGATGTTGGTTTGATGCTACGATAATGTGCTAATTTACATATTTTTTCTCTACTACAAGCAGCCTGAAACATGCCAATAGCAGTTTCACAGCCTTGTTGAGTACCACCTCCATTTCCCAGCCAACAGATGTCCTAACAAGAGAAGCATGCTGTAAATCATTCCAGCATTCCATGGGGAGGTGGGATAATGAGGAATAAGTTAGTTTATAGCTGTAGAGACGAAAGGAGAGGGATACAGGCAGAGGAGGTTGCATGGCTATCAGGTGAGTACACAATACCTGAACACCGGTTGAGTACTGATAACTGGTAGACGCAGCTTCAGCCATGAACATGTGAATTGTGATCACCTCGAGCTCATTTCAACATCATTTCTCCCTCTCATCTCTTCTGGTCAAAGATTTCCACACATTGGTGCACAAGCTTCTGTGCACAATGCACTAGGGCCTGTCATGCATATAGATGATAATCACAACCTATGTACCCCTTCATTGGTGAATATAATCATTCTTGAGTCTCTACAAGCTATAGAAAGTGACTACTGCTGGCCATACACCGCTCGCAACCGCCTCGCTCGATGACCCGCACCCTTCGACAGTGGGAGGGCGCTTAATTTACGGCCAGTGGTCCACTTCGTGGTCTAGCTGGTTAGCACAACTTCGCTGTTAAAAATATCCATAACTTGGCGTGCAGCACTGGTAAAAATACAAAATATGGATTTCCATATACCTTACATATCTGCCTATCCTTTCAGCATAAAACTTTTGTTTACTAAAGTGTCTAACTGTAGCTATCGCCGAATTAGTGCTAGGGTGGTCCGTTTCATGAGCGGCTACAGTATGCAGGGCCGCCTGAAGCAGGATGATATCACTAGGTAAGCCACCAGGAGCTGCGGGCATGGCTTAGGAACGCCGCGGACAGTGCCACGCCGGCACAGAACTCATTGCAGGTCGTCTTCCATCGTCACGGGCTTGTCAGGATGGTTGTTCTGCTGCCAATCAAGGTGGCATGTGCCTTCTACTCCCCGCCATCCACGCCCATGATGAGCATCAAATGATGTGCTCAGACTAGTGATGTGCGGGCCGGGCCTCAAAGTCCACGAGCCCACCAAGCCCGGCCCAAAAAGCCTGACCCGAGCTAAGCCTGGCAGCAGGCTCAAGGCCGGGCTCGGAGCATAGTCAAGCCCAAGCCCGGCCCAAAAGCCCAGGCTTGGATGCACCAAATGTGTTGCCATTCCCTGTGTCAGAACTGGGCGATTACGTCATTGCCCTGTATGGATTAATGGGGATATCATCACATGATCCCTCTATTATCTTGTAGTAATATGACATTTGATTACTCATGCTTAGTATACATGCTTACACTCACAGTACCATAGGTCTTGTAGCAGTATCAGAGGTCCCGACTCCCATGTATATATACTGGCCCTGTAGCACAGAATAAAGCAAGAGTTCAGTCGCACTTTCACACCTTGGGCTCAAAACATGGTAAGAACAACTTTATATACACATACGAGACGGGATGTTGACTTACAGGACTGGGCGGTCCCTGCTAGTGTGACTAGGCGCAATTGTGCGCCACCGCCTGGCGTTCGCCGTAGGCGCCCCTTCGCGAACCTTGTCATAACATGGCTTGTAGCGCGGTTGCATGCCCTCTGGAGGCTGCAGTACGGTGGGTACATGCAATAGCAGCTTATCACATACAAATATGCTCACGTTCGTAGCATATAAATACTTGTCCTAAGCCTTGCAAGCCCGGGCTTAAGCCCACGGCTTGGGCCGGGCTCAGGGCTCGGCTTGGCGTCGCCACAAGCCCAAGCCCGGGCTTTGAGCCCAAGCCGGGCCCGCACATCACTAGCTCAGATATGCTCAAGAATACTGATTTCATCTCGCTCGTTCTACTTGTCCGTTTGTTTCGCGTCAGGCTATTTGCCGAATGCTGTGCGAAAGAAGTCTATCTCCGACGCGTCATCACTTGTCCGCGCTCACAAATGGACTATCGCGCCTCCCCGCACGCGGGCGCGGTTCGCCCGAGCCTCCCCCAATGCTCGTCACGCTGACTCTTTCTCATAGTCCCACCACAAGTGCATTCGTTTTGCCCTTTGCTGCGGCACTGCATTTCAGATGGTGGCGACAACCCGTGGCTCTCGCTCGCCTTGCCACCCACGTCCGCCCGAAGAGCTTACTGGATCGGCTAGGTGATCGTACATCCCGACTTGCGGACGTATTGCGCAATTAACCTTATCACGACTACCCCTCTGATCCGCTGTGCATTCACAACAGTCTATGTGTCAGATGCCGACGGGATCCTATAAACCTCAGCCCCTCCCGGCGCACGCGCACGTCCTGGACCCCATACCCGCAACATACCACTTCCGAGCAACTGGCCCGAGAAACTGTGGGGAGGCATGGCCGGCAGCGATGATACCATTGACGTGAGAGCACTCGTCGGGCTGATTGGAAAGTTTGTATCGTCGCAGTCTCTCATGTCTGTCATGCTTGAGACCCTCTTCTTCGATGCGTCCCTTCGGCCCATCTATGCTTCTCATTCTGAACAAATTCAGGTATCTATACACTGTTAGTTGCCTTCGCGATCGCCAATTTTTTGTGAGTTTTCAGATTTCTGACTCGCAGGTTGTGCTGACTAGAACAATACCAGTCGATCGCCCTCTGTCTCTGGCCCAGAAAAAGAAGACTCTGCTTTTTGCAACATGTATGACCATGTACGCAATGGCGGCATCGCATTTTGGCATCACTCTTTTCTGTCTGTTTCTGGACAACCGGCGGTCGCTAGAGATCCAGACCAGCGCCCTGTCCTGCCTGGCTGCTGATGCGGCACCAAGCTCCTCCATGCAATGCTCCTGGGCAGGAACACCAACGAACAAGATCTTTACTTCGGCTGTCACGAATATGAGCCGGCAGCTTTCCACGTTGCTGTCTGTAAATGTAAACTTCGCGCCCGCTATGGTGCCCGCAGAGGTTGAACAACGATGTTTCTAGGTCGTGCTTGGCAACTCGGTTGTGCTCTGGAGAGGATGGGTGCTCTGGCCGCGGAGACGCGTCGTACAGGTCATTTCAGGATTTCTTATTTTCGCCACTGTCGGTAAGTCGTACATTGCCTGCACCCCACTCGTGATACGCTGACGTTCCGGGCCTAGGATTATTCATTTCAGGCATCGTCGTGCAACATACCGCCTCCCAGGAGTTCATCCCATCGGGCGGGGTCCTGTCGTTGTGGCTGACAAACCTCTGGGCGACATCGCTCGTAGCATACAGGGCGTGGTAAGCACCCTTAAATCATTGGAATCGACTGTACGGACGCTAGAGCGTACACGCACATAGGCAGCACCGACAACAGATCAGGTGTCATTTGCGCGCTGGGCTTCGTACGCGGGCAGAAAGGGCGCTCCTGCTCTTCATCGAGTCAGGCTCGCTCTACTGCGTTCTCTGGGTATGTATCCCGGCTCTGCCACGCGCTTGTTGTGGCTGACGACGCGCATACAGACTTTCCTCATGGTGTCGAGCATCATCAACTACCGCCTCATGCTCGGCCCCGAGTCAGGGGGCCTGTCGCGCAGCGGCACGGCGGCCTTCATTAACAGGACGCAAGTCCTCGAGGCGAGCTGCCTCATCGACCTCGTGGTGCGTCCTGCCGCTTTCCCAGCGCCCGGCGAACTTCCCAGCTGACCAACGTCGCGCCTACAGGGCATGTACCCGACGGCAGTGATCGCGCTCGTCGAGGCCTCGAACCGCTACGCACAGCGCACGCTCTGTATGGACGACATCGCGACGCCGCCCGTGCGCCTGCCCGCCGGCGGGGCGTCTCCGCCCCACCTGGATCTGCGGGCCGAGACTGCGGCCGACGACGTGTTGCACTTGTGTTTCGAGGACGCTGGGGGAGGCGCACCAGGTTTGGAGGCGAAGGGCAGGCGCGACGAGTGTGCGTTTGACGATGCAGGGGATATGAAGGTCGCGCGTGCTGTTGTGTGATTTGGCGCGCTCTGCTGTTTGTGAAAGCGACTGCATGTGCTGTAATTGAGTATAGAATATGAATATGCTGAGTATGCTCAAAAGACAAAAATTAACAAACAACAACGAGTCAACGACTCAACTCTCTTTTTCTAGCTAAAAGGAAGGAAAGCTGATGACTGAAAAACTTATTCCGACACGGGGAATCGAACCCCGGGCTATCGCGTGAGAGGCGATAATGTTAGCCACTACACCATATCGGATATCAGGAAGCCGGCTATCAGGTATAATAAGACAACGTAGAGCATAACCCTCTGCCTCCTGAAGTGAGCGTATGTCTGGTTGATACCCCCCACAACGACGGCCGCGCAAGAGCATATCGATGTCGCCTTCCGCAGACTTTCCAACATAACCACCACATCCATGCCATCTTCGGCCTCCTTTCAGTGTGTCACTCTCACTCTCCTCATCCTCCCCGCCATTGTCCTCGCTCTCTACTTTCTCACCTCTTTTCCACATGCACCCGACGCACTTCTCGTAAATCCGTCGCTCGCCAGCTTGCCAAAACATATCAGGAGCTGGCACATCTATCCGGAGGATGTCTACTCCGGTGGGGCATATGTGAGCTTCCCCCCTGGAAGGACGCGATACTGGCTGCTGGGTCCGGAAGATGGGATCAAGGTACGCACCAGGGTTCTTTCCCCCTATCCATCTCATTAACCACTCCTCATTCCTTGCGCAGATCGTGCTCATTCATGGTCTCAGCGTACCCTCTCTCATATGGAAAGAGGTTGCTCCGCACCTCGCCGAACGTGGCTTCCACGTGCTCCTCTATGACCTCTACGGCCGCGGCTACTCGGACGCCCCACAGACAACATACGACGTCTCGCTCTACACGACACAGCTCGCATTGCTGCTGCAGTACATCGGCTGGGACAGCACCAACCTCTGCGGTGTGTCTATGGGCGGCGGAATCGCGGCGGCCTTCGCGGTGCAGTTCCCACATCTCGTCCAGGGCGACGTTGCGCTTATCGCCACAACCGGCGTCGTTGACGCCGCAGATCTGTCGCGCACCTCGCGCTTCCTGTCGTCGCCGGTCATGCAGTTCATCACGGCGAGCGCGCCGTTCCGGATGTACCTTCGACACCTCGCGAGCAACGCGTCCCGGATCGACAACGCCTGCGACGAGCTCGTGCGCATACAGAGCGCACACCTCCCGGGATACAACCCTGCGATCGCGAGCAGCATACGCGATGGCCCGATACGTGCACTGGCGCCGGTGTTTGCGCAGCTCGGAAGGCAGATGCGCAAGCGTGCGAAGGGCGCGGCTGGAGGCGGGCGGGTGTTGCTCGTGTGGGGGACGCGGGACAGCGTGGTGCCGTACCAGTACGCTGCGCGCGTGCGGTCGTTGATTGGGGACGAAAGCGCTAGCATGGTCACGCTCGACGACGCAGGGCACGACCTCACAGTGACGCGTGGAGACGATATCGTCCAAGAGCTTGTGGCGTTCTTTGGGAATGAAGGAGCAAAAGAGTAGCTCTCTCTGCCGAACGGTCCCTACACTCTTATTCGGGATGCAGCTTCCCAGCGCCATGTCCAGTGGCGCTGTACTGCTGCAGGCCCAGCTTCGGCGTGAACGTAGTCGCCGACCTCTCATCTTGCATATTGCCATCGCGATATCGCGCGTCCTGCTTATGCCCACCCAGTTCGCTGTCTGGACTCGCAGGAAGGTTGTTGCACAACGGACATCCCACACTTGAAGCCCTCCGATTCATGAACGCACCTTTCCTTGCTCCTGCATTCATATCTTAGAGTAGACGCACAATAGTCTTCCCGCACATTCACCGGATATCTTATACCCGTCTGCTGCTGTCGTCTCGTATATCGCTTTGTGTCCGTACGTTTTGTAATCTCCGTGTTGATCGATGATCTCTGAAGCTGCCTGAGTTGTTGTTCTAGCTGTATGCCACTGCCGTGTGTATATTCTCTTAAATATGGCTCGAGGTCTTAGTATCTGAATGTTTGCTTCCAGGATTATGACGAATGCATTGGCCCTGGCAACCTATTTTGTTTGCCTTCGTGCATTGTGTTGCTCGCTTGCACAATATCGTCAGTGTCCTGTACAATATCGCTAATATCTCTCGAGACTTGAACTTTTGAAGCGTGAGATGCTGCGTTGAAGAACCAGGGACAGTCTTCCACCGTGCAATTTTCGTAACATGCTGAGTGTTGCATCACCGACGGCGCACTCGCCGTGACGAGCTAAATCAAGCAGCACGTCGTGCGCGTGACATGTCTGCCGCCTCGTCCGCCGCCTCAACAACGCCCGCCATCACCACCAATCTAACTGTTGACTGCGCAAAGCGCAGGACGTGCAGCGTGAATGCAGTCACCATCGCATCTCCTACGGACGCTTGATGACCGCCGTCAACGGGATGTCTGCAACGGTCGCCCACGAATCTCTAGCTGCCCATGTTTGCAAACATAGATTTCGCCGCGGGAAGGCATCCAGCGTCCATGTACAAAGGGGGAGGTGTGCATTTATACAGCAGACAAATGGATTGCTTGACGATACCGACTAGTGGCGGTGACCTTGTGGCATGCCAGTGGTTGCTGTGGCGTCGGATCGCACGAGAGGGCGCTTGGGGCGGGGTGTGCGCGCGATGCAGTGCGTTCTTTACCAGCCGTTACATGATGACATCGATGATGTTGAGCCTGATCTGATTGCATTCAACGGTAGTGTACTCGCCTACGAAATCTTGGCGCGGACTTGATATCTAGTTCAATTCCTAAAACCTCCGAGCCAGGTCGACTTCTCATGCGCTGCCTCGAGAGATCGCTTCAGGGCGCTGATCTTCGTCTGCTCCTGACCGTACGCAAGCGAAATCGAAATATGCCAGGAAATATCTTGTCCTGAGATCTTGCGTAATTGCTTCGGTTGCGAGAGCCCTTGTTAGCGCGGTGCTGACGTCACTGTTGTGTAGAAAGCCCGGTTTCAATCTTGGGACCTAGCAAGCGCGAGTGCCCGCCATCAGCAAAAAAATAGGTTGTAGGCCAACGATGGGTTGTTATGCAAGCGTCTAGCAGCCTGGTGAATGCTGGCAATGCAAGATCGGGCAATACCTTGCTGATATTGCATGGCCATTGATTGCCATGCCATCTCATGCCGGTATATCATTACAATTCGGGTCCCATACTGATAGAACTCGACATGCCATGACCTGGTCCCCCAGATTCCGGTTGTGATGTGACGTCACTGCGGCGAGACATGTCACCGCTGTCTTTCGCCTCCGGCCCCCTCTACGATGACTGCACAAGATTCCTTTGACCTCTCCTAAAGTCACATTTCCTTTTATGTCATGATACTTATGGAGGGCCCTCGTCACCTCTCCATTCCTCATACCCTTTACTTCCTCTTCACCATTGTGCTCGAGTCCGAGCCCTGAGCCAGCTCGGCCGGTGAGCTTGAACATCCGCGAACACCTGTGGACATCCATTCTGTTGCTGTCGTAACAACGCCGCATGGGTGTCTGCACCAGGTACTTGCCATGTGCCGAGGTGCGTGCGGATCCCTGTCGTGAGTACTCTGCTGACACCTCACACAACTGACCACACACACAGTAGCCATGGCACCTCCTCCCACCCCTGTATGGAGCTATAACATGAGCACGAGGTGACATTATAAGCATGTAAGTTCGCATATAAGCTTATCTATGTGGTATCCCGATGCATATAGTGCATGCAATGTGCATATATGCGCTCGACTGACCACAACTCTTGCCTATAGGCTCATGCGAGACATTGCTGCCCACCCAAGAGACGACCTGCACATCATTACCGTGACCATGCCCTTGTCACCCTGAGCCCCTCCTATCACGCCACCTGCGACACAATCTGCAACATGCTCGGGAGCCTCACAGGTGCAGCCGATACCACATGCTGGCGTCAGCCATAGAACGTAAGTCACTTGTTCTTTCTGCGCGTCACATGCTGATGCATTCTTTGCTGACCTCAAGGTTTCTCATTTCCACATAGCATAGTGCGTCTCTGGTACGTCTCACGATCCGCAGCTCTTCGCGCTCATGAAACCTCACGTTTGTGGCTCACCTAAGCCATATTGGTAAGCAACATGGGCCGAAATTTTGCTCCAAGAGGTGTCAGCTACAACCTTTGTACCTTGTGTAGCTTCATAAATATACCATTTTTGATTCTCAATTTTCCATGTGCGAGCTGATCCCAAATATATTTGAATATTGAACCAATTCATTTGAGCACTCTGGCAACTGTTTCCCAGACCGGCGCTCGCTGGCAATGCCCTGCCATGGCTGGTAAACCTTTCCAGAATGGCGAAGCTCCTCAGACTGATAAGCTGTGCAAAGCATACAGGTGCTCTATCTAGTATGGCAATGGTGATTCCAGAATGGGTTAATTTGCATTCATGGGTACCTTTATATGGCCTGACCATTCTAGATACATCTGGAAAAACGCGAAGTGGAATGTGGCAAATAGACCAGCCCATACCACTCGGACCTCTGGACACAACCCCCTGAGCTGGACCATCCAGACCAACCACTGCAGATGCTGTACCAGTATATACTGTGTTGGACTAAACATAGCACTACTAATGTCATCTGTACTCGCTTGCGTATGATATGTGCATGTCTAGGCCATGCTGTACTGCAACATATTTGGACAATGCGGCAGAAACCACATCCACTTTCCCAATTAGGTAATAAATTCACACAGCAGCCACTGTAGTTGTTTGCGCTGGGATAGCCAAAAAATCGCATCGATTACGGTGATATGAACAAGGTACAAGTAAAGGTCTAACAGGCCACAGTATTACTGATCATGTGAGAGTATCAATGTACATCTATCTAGCAACAGCGGCGTACATCTCCATGCACTTGGCTCTCCACAGAAGCCAGCAGACCTGTCAAAATCTGCAATGAGATGGTCAGTCAGATACTGGTATAAGGGCAGGCAGTGGAGGAACAGATCATGATACATGAACCAAGAAGTGACGCGGTTCGGTCTATGATGATGTAGCCGCGTCGAGATCAATATGGATGGGGAATACAAAAGGCTGTCGGCATGGTGGCCGTGGAGCTGGAACTCACTGGCTTCGATGTGGGTCTCCCATTTAACCACAGATAAGTTTGAGCTCATCCGTGTCTTGTGCCGTCTACTCATGGGACCGAATCATGTTGCACCTAGAGAATCGGTCAGTCCAACCTGACAACTGAGCCGCACTGCCACGTACCTCAAACGTTGCCAACAATATGGTTATCACAACCAGCCTCCTGCTGACCTTCGAGATCTTTGAGTCTGCGTGGGCTGCGGGGCCGGGGTCGCTCGCAACGTGGTGGACTCGGACAACGCTGGGCCACCCGACAAGCCTGCACTGTCATGGTGAGTTGATATCTTGGTCACATTGAGTGACTGGTCACAGTGATGCCGAGAGGTGCGCGATGTTCAGCGGCTGCGACGAGCAGTGCTTCGAAGACCCTGCCAGCAGTCGCTGCTGCCTGGGAAGAGTCGGGCGGAATTGAAACAGTCGAGCACAGTGGGTGCAGTGAGCAAGAAATGGTAGCTCTGCATCTTGTCCACCTCCTGACTCCACTGTTTAGTGCGTGTTGGATGTTTGATGGTCTCGGAGAGAGTAGATACAAGAGCATGAGAGACGAGATGGCCAACACACAGCGGACTAAAAGGACGCGCGCCAGTGGTTTAGGGCAGGCAATTCTGCACTTGCTCGCCGCATGCATAGCAACTGGACTGACACAGTTCAAGCCTTTTATTCTTGCTGCGAATATCACCAGCAGTCTTGTACTCTATGTTAGCTAAATTTTAAGGGGCACAGAAACAAGCTGCCCATACTATACCAAGCATTTCTGTCCGTGTGACGCTGCTACTGGTCTCGTGTGTCTATACTATTGTCTAGCTGGTCTGAATGGTACAGACCAAGATAGACATTGCACCCTGGTATGTGCCCATCTGTATTTTGTCCCCTGATACAAACCAGTCTATTTGGTCCCAGATGGCACAGGTTGCTGGCAGGTGGGTCCAGCAAAATGTCTTTTTCCAGATGTAATCAGCTAATTTTTTTGCTGATGGCCTGGCTCCACTCCAACACTGCAACGTGTCCGCGTTCCCGTCTCTCGCCGGTATGGTTGTCGTACACCCATATATAATATGCGAGATTGCTGCTAAAGCCATGACACAGGAAACTGCGCAAACATCAGGAAAAAAAGTCTGAGACCAGAAGCGCCCCGTGAGCTTTGTAGTTCCAGCAGCCCGGTGGAACTGACCCCTATTACCCTGCAACCAGTAGTCTCCCGCCATGCCTCCGTAGCACCCATGGCGGCCTGCATAAGTTTGGCAGCACACCGTGGCAGCCTGCAAACATTCAGCAGCACACCGCGGCGCTGTCGCAGCCTGCCTGTAGATACCAGCAGACGGCCTCCCAGGCTTTGAACACTCACTCACAGGGAATAGATTAACAGAAGAAATATATTAGGCACACAACTGTACGGTACATGTTGGTGTATACTACACTAGATTCATTCTGCTGTGGTAGGGGATAGACACAAAAGGTAAATCTATAATGTATAGCAAGTCAGAATAATACTATATGAACTGCGGGGGCATCACTCATCTAAGTCTTAAGACCGCTATGCATCCAGCGCAGGAAGCAGCGCAGGACATGCGGCTGGTAATCTCGGATGCGCAACCCGTTAGCCGCCCTTCTTGCGATACCCGTGCAGCAGCGACGGGCTCGCTATGAGGCATGTCGCGAGCGGCTCACAATATGCCCTGCGTAGCTGCAGGCACTCGTGGTTGTGCTTGTGCTGGAGATTTCGAGGGTGCGTTCGAGCGCAACGCGCACCTGGTGCTCACGTACAAGCTAGGCAGGACCACTGCAGATGTGTGTAAGTGTAAGAACATGGCGTACCCCGAAATGCACGACATGAGGTGGAGGTGTATGGCAGTGGGAGGTGGATTTAGCGGATCTTCCATTGCCTGATGCGAGCCCAACCTATCAATATCAAGATTATATGACATAATGAACTCACTGATCACCGCTGCCTGTAATCCGTGAGACACCGCTTTATCCGCTGAGAAAAGGAAGATAGCGGTGAAGGGCTGCGCCGCCCTCAACAGCTGCGGATATCCTAGCAGCAACGCGGTCATTGCACCCTAAACTCTTGTGGCCTGTCGTGCTTGTTGTATCATTCATGGGCTTCTTGGTTGCGCGCAAAACGCTGTTTCGCTACTCTGGGGCTTGTGCGCCTGCTCCGCGCGTGACAATGCGACCTCACTGCTCATGAGAAGGGTATGGTATATGTCAGAAGAACATAACTTACGCAAGGACGTGTATGGCGTCGACGCGTTGCCCGTTGACTGACACCGCCGACATAGGCTGACGCAGCGCGGTGGTGACGTGGAACGAGGGATGTTCGGGCGCTTGTTACCATCGGCCGTGCCATCATCCGTTAATTTAGGGCAGACATTCCCGTACTTGAGCAAGTGAAGAGTATACCACCTTTGGACAGTACTTCACGCTTCAAGTGTCATGATCAAAATTTTGTATACTATTTAGTTTCATTCACTAATGTTGTAAGCACATGTTTTACATACAAATCTAGTCTATGGCGCGAGAAATTAGCCAGAGTTAGGTGGTGCATATGAGCAGCTGCTAAG